TGATAAGGACACCTACCCCTCAGAGATATTCTGGGAAGGAAGATGATGAGTGCAAATGACTCAATACAGCACCCATTGCCTCCTGAGCACTCAAGAGACGTTGGTCTTGGGGATCATGGTCTCGGACCCGTCAAGAGATCTTGGGATCGATCTTTCGCTGTCTATCCCATGAGTGCGGGTGCTTCAGGTGGTACATTCTGGGCGGGGCTGGGAGGCCGACTCACCTCTCAGAGATGCGGCCGGCGGGATAGAAGACGCTCTGCATGACGATGAAGTATTTCTGGGGAAGGGAGTAGGGGGTGAGAGGAGACAGGGTCTCACCCTCCCGCGGCCCCCTCTGGCCCGGTCCACTCGGCTCACGCACCTTCTTTCCCCGAGCCACCCGCAGACTGTGCACTCCTGGAAGCGGAGAGGGCGTCAGGTGAGGGGCGCAAATTCGGATACGCCCCCGGGGTCCATCCTGTCCAGTTTCAGGCCACTCCTCCTCTTAGAGATCTGGCGCTTCCCAAGCCTCCAGGCCGCGCCCCCGGACCCCTCCCTTCCCCAATTTGAGGGTGGTGTCCCGACTTGACCTGTTTCTAGATTAAGCCCCAAATGGGCGACTGACTCAGACGGTTAAGAATCTGCTTGCAATGCAGGAGACTTGGGTTCGAGCCGTGGGTCAGGAAGATCCCCTGGAGAAGGGAATGGCTACACACTCCAGTATTCTTGCCTGGAGAATCCCATGGACAGAGGAGACTGACGGGCTACCGTCCACGGGGTCGCAGAGAGACACTACTGAGCGACTAACAGGCCCACAAATCTTCCTCCGGTCACTGTCCAATCCCAACCCCGCCCCCTTGGGGCCCCACCCAGGTCTCGGCCCCGCCCATCGACCCCGCCCCCTCGTACATTGCGGTCTAGGACCTGCCTCCCCACTGGACTTGGCCCTCGCCTCTCTGTTGCCTAGTGCCCTCCACCCTGCTCGGACTCAGGTCCCCTACGCTCCCCCCACCACCCCCGATCCTGGAACCTTCCGACTCTCCGACCCCTCCCCTTCTCGCCCTCTCTTCTCACCCCTCCCCGCTCCCTGCAGTCCGGTCCCGGACAGGTCGTACCCAGCAACCGTGCGAGCAGTGAGTGTGGGTGTCGCTGCAGGTGATGCACGTAGCGGGGCAGATGGGCGAGCAGCGCCTGCACCTCCCGGCTCCGCAGGGTCTTCAGGAAGAAGCGTTGGTCGTGGCTGAGGGGCGGGAGGGAGAGGTCACTGTCCAGGCCGGTCAGGAGCCGCCTCCCCACCGCCCGTCTGGCCTCCTGTCTCCGCCCCTCTATCTGGACGTGACCCAACCTACCCTGGGCATTCTCTTTCTCCTCAAGCGCACCCCTCCCCCGACCCCTCCCCCCAGACACCACTCCCCCTGCCATTCCCCACCCCTGCCACCAGCTCACGACAGAAAGAAGCTGGCCTTGCTCTTGGAGGTGCTGAGGAACTGCAGGTAGGGGCGGCCGGGACCCAGCGCGGCCTGGTAGTCCTCCTCGGCCAGCCCCAGGGAGCGCCGCAGTCGGGCAAAGGCGGGGCCAGCCAAGGTGCCCAGCTCGAAGCCCTGCGAGGAGGAAGAACAGCCCCCAGGAGTGTCCCCCGGCGCCCAGGGGTGTGCAGTTGGCCCTCCCGCGGGAGGGTCAGGGTTAAGCACACTCTTTCTGCAAGACCCCAGGGTCAAGCCATCACTCCCACTGCAACTGATGCGGAAACGGAGGAGGAGAGCTGAACACATTCCCTCCCATGCAGTGGTCTTGGGCTTCCTACCTCATGAACCTGGGTCAGGACTTCGGAAAAATCCTCCTCTGTGGGCAGCCCCTGGAGCAAGGAGCAGAGGGGCCCAGGGCAAGTCTCAGCCGACGCTGCCAGCCCAGGGTCTCCCAGAGTCTGGCACCCGGCCTCACCCCTTCCCCCTATGTGGTTCCTCCAGCAGCTGGGGGCTGACCCAGGCATGCCTGAGCTGAGCAGGGAGAGTGCCAGCCTTCCCAGAGCTGGAGGGAAGGAGGAGCCGGGGCAGGTCCCAGGTGTGTCTTATTCACTGCTGAGTCTCCCACACCAGTCTCTGAGTTAGAGCCTGGCACATGTGCCCAGACACAACGCTGACCAAAGTGTTGCCAGATGCCCTCCTGGTAAAAGGGGGTGGCCTTGAAGTCTAGGGACCTGCCTGACTGAGCCTGGGAAGAGTAGAATCAGAGAAAGCTTCCTGGAGGAGGTGCCCCCTAAGATGAAATGTGAGGGTAGTGAAGACGGGTAGCAAGGTGCTCATAGCAGGGGGAACAGCAGTGATGGCCACTGGGAAGAGGAGAGACCGAGACTGAAGAGAATAAGGAGGGGTGGACTGAGAATGAGGTTGGACAGATGGCCCTTGAGCTTCAGCCAGCAGGACACTGAGACCATGCTGAGAATTGAGGAACCCTGCAAGATTTTCAGCAGGTGATGAGATTTAGAGGACTCCTGCATCTCCCTGGCCCTCCAGGTCCCTGTGCTAGGATGGGGTCACACTGCACATGTGTGCACACACACAAACGACACACATGCTCACCCGGGGCCATCCAGCTGCTGAGCTTGCAGTGGGCGACCCTTTCTGCTGAGCCAGCCTGGCCCTAGCCAGAGCTCTGGGGAGGATGGGCGGAGCTGGTGGGGTGGGGGTGGGGTCCCTTCTCAACTGCACACCCTGGCAGAAAGGGAGGACCTCAGAGACCAAAGAGTACAATCCCTCCCACCCACTATACAGATGGTGACACTGAGGCCTAAAGAGAGGCAGACACCCACCTAGATCATACATCCACCACGTGGGTTCAAGGGCTTCCTCACACCCTCAACACACCTTGGGCTTTCTGGCTTCCTGGTCTCAGCCCAGAAATGTCCCTCCTTCCCTGCACCGAGTCCCTACCTTCCTCCCCTTCTATCTGGCCTGCTCTGATCCCCAGCCCTGCATTATTAGCAGGACAGGGCATCAACCTGGTCTCGCTGTTAGCGGAAGTGCACGGAACTGGCCACTCACCATGGGCGGGTGGTCCATGGACACTTGAGTGGCAGCCCACAGCCCTGCCTGCATCAGGCACATCACCTGGTGCAACTCATGCCCGGGTCCAATCTCAAACAGTCCCAGGCGACACTGCTTGTCTCGTAGACGCCAGAGGAGCCCACGGTGGCCAGAGTTTGAAGCAGCTGCTCTGCGTCCAGCCTCTGGGGAGGGGGCCAGGATCTGTGATGGGTGGCACCAGAAGCAGTCAGCATGGGGCAGTCAGCACCCCACCGGGGAAAGACCCTGGTCTGAGAACCACATCACTGTTTGTCAGCTCTCTCCTAATCTCTCTCTGCCTCAGTTCCCTTAGTTGTAAAATGCAGAAAAGGCTGGTACCCACCTCATGGCGTGTTGTGAGGGGACCGTGCCTGGCATTCAGTCAGCACTCATAGTGATGGTTCTTATTATCAGTGGATAGAGAGTTCATTCCGTAGCCTCTCACTAGCTGTGTAACCTTAGGTAAATCACCTAACCTATCTGCACCTCGCTTTCTGGTCCGTAAACTGAGAACTACAATAACTCCTTTGTGGATGGTATTAACTGTCTTACTGTTGAGTCTGAGCACCGTGCACAGGATCTCCTTATAGTAGGAGCTGTGATGTCAGTGATTGAGTCATCTACTCTACTCGTCTACGCCGAATTCCTCCAGTCCCACACCGCAGGTCCCCATGAAGCTGAGGTCACAGCTTCTGACCCATCTTCAGTCGGCACCCACCATGAGCCCAGCCCTCGCTGAGAGCTTGACCTCCTAACCGCCCTATGAAGGAGGCGCTTTTATTATTGTCTCCATTTTGCAGTGAGGAAACCAAGCAAGTTCTCGTGGAAAACCCTCCGGACTCCCCACTTCAGACCAGCAGCCCCATGTGGGGCGTGTCCCAGTCCTGTCCAAGTGCAGGACCCCTCCTGGGTTTGGATGGGGATGTGTCCGCCCCTTACAGGGCCGGGAGACCCGGCCACTACTCTCCAATCCTTTCCTTTCCTGTCCTCTCTCGGGTCGGCACCTACCTCGCGGGGCCCCGGGCTCGGCGCGGCCATCGCCCCCGCAGCAGCTTCCCGGGTTCGGGCCGCGTCCCCAGCTGCCGGGTAGCCCCGCAGCAGGAGCCAGGCCCCGCCCATGCTTCTCGATCGACCAATCGAGCGGTGCCGGTCACGGCTGCACCCAATCCGAAAGGGGGAGCCGGGGATCGCCTGCGGGTCCCGCCTCCGGGGCTGCAGCATCCTTCGGATAGCGGTCCAGGGTGGGGCGGGGCCGCCGCGCGATGGTTAGGATCTCTGCGGCGTGAAGACCCCCCTCCCCCCATTCCGTTCCGAGTGTGGGAGACTCAGATCTCGGGGAGTTCGGGAGGCCGGTAACCTAAATCCAGTTCCGCCCACCCACTCTGGCATGAAAATCCCACAGACCACATTTCGGGTAAGGAAACTGAGGTCCAGTGAGAAAAGTGACTACCTCCAGTAAGTCAGGGGCATGTATTCATTCAACACTTATTTTGAACACTCAGTATGGGCCAGGAGCAGTGTAGGCCAGGGTGTGTTTTGGGGGGGGGGGGGCGCTGGGGAGGGCAGATTTTAGGGTGAGAGGAACACAGCTGCCAGCGTGAGCTTTTAAAAGCATAAATCAGATGATGTCACTGTCGGGCTCAAAGCCTCCAGTGGCTTCCCAAGGCACTGAAGCAAAGTCCAAACCTCCCAGTATGGCCCCAGACCCACTCTTCAGACTCCTCTCAACTCACTCTCCCTGCACCCAATACTCGGCCACAGGGGCTCTGGGCCCTCTTTCAAACCTCCACGCTTTTGGAGGTGCTGTTCCTTCTGCCCAAAGTACCCACCCCCCTCACCACCACCACACACACACACCCGATTTGCTTTATTCCTTATCACCTTGCCCTACCCTGGCCTCAGTCATGATCACATCCCTTTTATTTTCTTCATCGTGTTTAACACTGTCAGAGACTGTCTTGTTCATTTATTTATTACATCCCCCTCTCCCCTACCCAGAGTGCAAGGAGGGCAGGCTCCTTTCCTAGCTCAGTAACCTGGCACAAACTGGTGTTTTGACAAACTGGTATATGCTTAACCAGTACAAGTAGGATGTACACAGAGGGGGCCATTGTGGGAGAGTGGGGAGAGAAGTGAGGACACCTTTGGTGATTTAGGGCAGAGGATGGTGGCTTTGCATCAGAAAGGTGACTGGGGTGGGGGAAGAAATGGCAAGAATTGATAGGATTTGGGTCCGGTGGATGTGGGGTGGAAGAGGAATGCCAAGGTCAGTGACATCTGATGGGGATGTCAGGTGGGCAGCTGGCACACATGCAACACCTTTGGGCTCAGGAGAAAGCTGGGCTGGAAGCAAGCCTGGGTGAGGATAAGGTCGCCCCTAAGACTGTGGGGTGAAGAAGCCTGTGACTGAATCCTAAGAAACCTACACTCTCACTGCAGGAGAGAGGAGCATGAATATGACAGAGAAGTAGGAGAATGGGTCATCCGGCATCTGAGAATGCACCCAGGGGCGGGGTGGGGGGGATGTCACTGGCCAAATGTGGCAGGAGGTCAAGGAACATGCCTCTGATGTTAAGACTGGACATCACTGGTGATCTGAGTGCAGCCCTCCTGGAAGGCTGCCGAGCAGTGGGAGGAGAGGAAACAGGGGCAGGGGTGGATACCCTTTGGGGAAGTTTGGTTGTGAAGAGGAGAGGGGGAGAGACCTGGAGGGAGTTAATGGATTGATGAAGGGTCCCTTATATGGAGCCTGTTAACACATTCAACACTGGAGGACCACGTTGAGAGGCAGAGGCTGTTCCCCTGAGAGGGATCATCAGATAGCAGGCTCTTTCCACAGTGGTAGGAGGATAGGACCAAGTCCAGGAGGGCAGCTCCACCTGGACTGGAGATGGGGAGGGGAACAGGTAAGGACAGGGAAGGTGTGCCTGCAGCTGGGCTCTTTTCTGATGAGGGGGGCGGGACACCTCTGCTAACTGGAGGAAGAATGAGTGCCCAAGAAAGTGAGGGGTAGAGGCTCACACTGTGAATGGGAGAGCTGGCTGCCCAGAGGCACGGTGAGATTGCCAGGGGCTCGAGCTGAGGCCTGGACCAGTCAACCGGAACACAATGGAAACTGCTCTGGCTCATAGCGGCCCTCTGCTCAGAGTCACACTAAGTTGGGCTGCTGGGTACGAGACAGATGATGGGCTTGGGCTTTTAGGGGTCTGAGGGTCCTTAATATACCAGTGCCCACTGGCTGGGTTGGCACAGGGGAGGCAAGGTAGAGGCTGATGTGATGTCTGGCAGATGGCCATGCCTCCAGACTCCCTCACTGTGAGCTGCGCCAGGCCAGATCCACATCAGTCCTGGCCCCTGCTTTGTCCTGTGTCCAGCACGGGGATAATCCAAGAGGTACCCAAGGCACCCTCGTTGCACAAACCAGTGTCTCCTGATCTGAGACCAATGCACAGGCCAGCTCCCAGCCCCTGGGCTCCTTGGGTCAGGGATGGCACTGAGACAAAGAAAACAGTGTTTATTTTTCAGTTCTCCCATCAGGCCAGCACTGAGGCTGGGGGGCTGGGCCTCCAGGAGAAGCAGTCAATCTGGGGAGCCCCCTGTGGCCAACCTAATGTACCCTGGGGCCCCTTAGAGGTCAAGGCCTCCCTCTAGGCTCTCCAGGTCCAGAAATCCTTGTGGAGTCTGGGGCTATGTCAGACCTGGGAAGACTGCCTTTGTGGAGGAGCAGGACATGTGGTGAGAGGTCACGTGATGCCCCAGAACCTGCCAAGTCCAACACCATCATATGACAAGAAGGAAACTCAGGCAAGTGTAGAACCCAGCAGGAAAAATGATAGTGGTCTGAAGGGGAGGTGTGTGTGTCTGTGGAGGGGGACCAGCATCTTCCAGGCCCTGAGTCAGAAGAGGGGTGAGATGGAGACTTCCAGGTACTCTTCCTCCCTGGCTTCTGGAAGGAGGAGCAGGGGTACTGGTCAGCCAGGGGTGAGTCCTGAACGGCTTCCATCTCACAGGGGTGTTTGCAGGGCAATCAGGCTTGAGGGGGCCTCAGTGCCTGGATGGGTCCTGTGGGCACTCCCGTTGGGTCTGCCTGGAGAAGAAGCAGAGAAGGGGCCAGCAGCCTCATTCCTGCTAGGCCTTCACTGGGCCTTTTTGGTATCCTTCTGGTTCTTCAGCATCACGTAGGTGATGAATATACCTGGAATACACAGACCAGAAAAGGCAGGTAAGATCCTGGCTCAGGACTGCTGGGAGGCCAGAAAGTGAAGTGAAAGTGAAAGTTGCTCAGTTGTATCCAACTCGTTGTGACCCCATGGGCTACACAGTCCATGGAATTCTTCAGGCCAGAATACTGGAGTGGGTACCCATTCCCTCCTCCAGGGAATCTTCCCAATCCAGGGATCTGCAGGCAGATTCTTTACCAGCTGGGCCACAAGGGAAGCCCGGGGAGGCCAGAACAGGACCCAAGCATGGCAGTGAGCCACACAAGAGGCCAAGCAGCTTACCTAACTGCCCTCCAGGCCATGCCCTGGAGGCCATTTCCCTAATCATCCATCAAGCCACACTTCTGCATGCACTCATTCAACACACATCAGCTGAGTGACTGCCACACACAAGTTGCTGGGTTTAGTGTTTCTGATTCTACAGGGAATAAGATACACTCAACGATCTATCTACTCACCTGACCACCTGTCCATCTACCGAACCACTCACCCCCCATCATCCACCTACCCCATCATCCAGAGAGCTAATTGTTGATTCATCCAAACCACTTTCTTGAGCACCGACTCAGTGCCATAGCTTGTGCTTGGGGTGAGGACATATTAATGATATGTCCTGACCCTATAAGTCCCCCATGCTAGACCCTGGGAAATAGAGAGATGCAGGAATCATGAATCAGGGTGACAAGGGGGTGAGAGGTGATGGAGGTGTGAGCAGAGCGGTGGTGGTGGAGGGAGCAAGAAAGAGGGAGACATCCCATTAGATGCCAGTGAGCCTGAGGCATTGGGAAGACTGACTTACAGCCCTGAAGGATGAACAGGGAAACCCCAGGACGTGAGTTGGGGGGTAAGGAGCCTCAAGCAGATGTACAGTGAGTGATGAAGTGTAGCAGCATGTTCAGGATTGGGAGGGGGTCATGAGGTCCCCGAGACACCCTGTCCAGGGTTGGGGGAACTTACCCACAAACAGGAGCAGCAGGAGGCCGGCAGCCAGTGGGATAGCAATGGCATAGGCTCGGGGCAGGAAATACTTGTGGATGACATGCTGACTGTCGATGAATGGCTGGCATCAAAGGCAGAGCTCTAGTGAGTGTTCCTTGCTCTGCTCAGCTCCCCAAGTCCAAACAGCCCTCCTCCTCCATCTCAGGGGTTGACCCCATCAAAGCACTGCATTTGCTTTTCTCTAAGATGAGAGCACTCTGGGTGCCTTGGTTTGTTCCCTTCCTTCAGTTATCTAATGGTTGTGTACTGGGCACTTGACTGGTGCTCACCCAAAGTTGAGGCTAGAGACCTTGTAGGACTTGCCCTCACAACTTGGCAAGGACAAAGGGGACATGAGGAATCCCCAACCAGGACTCCAAGGTTTTCTTTACTAACATTTTTCTCTAAAGCATACCGACTTCTGCAAGATTTTGCCCTTCAAACAAACACTGCACTTTTAAAGCAGTAACCAAAAAAGATTTCCCACGGGGCAAAAAAAATGCTAAACACTCTCACAAAATCCACTGCAATTGTCATGCCCAAGTGCCCGCAGGATAACCAGAAGGACTAGAACTCCCATCAAAAGCAAAGCAAATCAAGGACAGGACCTCGCAGTGGAGTGGTTAAGGATTCCACCCAGAGCCCTCCCCTAGAGCTTCTGCTTCCTCGCCTATAAAATAGAGGCACCTGTTACCATCTTCCTCATAGTGCTGTCCCGAAGCTTTCATGAGATATGCAGTGACAGCACCTAGCACAGTGCCCGCTAAAATGATGTGAGGAGTTGGCTTCAAGATCCAGGGATGGGAGGTGAGAGAGGGCGGGGAAGCACACATACCAAGAGAATTACCCAGGCGGTGTAATAAGTGAAGATGATCAGGCTAAGGGCGACGAGGCCGAGTCCCACCACCTGGTCTGTTCCCGTTGCCTGCAGAAAAGGGAAGATTCAACTGAGGAAGAGATCCTCCATTTAGGAAGGAGTGGGGGTCGTTGCGGCCCGATCACGTCCATTTACTCAGCTGACACATGTGACGTGACTGACTAAGTATCTTTTCTAGGTCGGAAGAGAAAGTACCGAGCCAAAGTCTATCATTCGTACGATGGGACGGCGGGAGAGCGATACCGGCTCCGAGTGCTCAAGCCCCAGCTCCCGAGCAGACCCAGGACCCCACCTCCCAGACGCCCCCATTGCCGACACTCGGCCTCAAGCTCACCATTTCCCCAGAGCTTCAGGCACCGGAGACGCAAGCCCCATCCGGTTCCGGATCCGGGCCCTTCCGGCCTTGAGCCGCGGGGCACGCCGGGAGTCGTAGTCCTCAGGATGGCCCGGGACCTCGTCGCCAGAGACGGGCGGGCAAGCCTCCTCTTTGCATGTCGGGAAATGTAGTTTCTCGAGGACATTCTGTGAAGCGTTCCCGAATCTCTCAGCAGTGAGACCGAGTTGAGGAACCGAGATAGGCTTGGCACTTGTGGGCTCGGTCCTGTCGAACTCGCCCGAGGAAAAAAAAAAAGCCCATCTCTCAATATCCCAGAGTCCTACAGCCAGAACAGGATGGGGGTGAATGGTCAGAAGTCCCGTGTTTCAGGTAGGGAAAAGGAGGCTCAAGAGAGGGGCAAGACCGGCCTGCCAACCACTCGTCTGCTCGAGAGAGAGCAGGTAATAGGGAGGAAAATGAGATCCTGCACCCGGAACACCTGAATGGGGTGAAGCTGGAGATGGATGGGCACCTCAACAAAGATTTCCACCAGGAGGTCTTCCTGGGCAAGGACATGGATGACTTTGAGGAGGACGCAGAGCTTCGGAAGAGCCGGAGGAAGCTGATGGTCATCTTCTCCAAGGTGGATTTGAACACCGACAGGAGGATCAGCGCCAAGGAGATGCAGAACTGGATCATGCAGAAGACCGCTGAGCACTTCCAGGAGGCTGTTGCCGAGAGCAGGGCGCACTTCCGAGCCGTGGACCCTGATGGTGACGGCCACGTATCTTGGGATGAGTACAAGGTGAAGTTTTTGGCCACCAAAGGCCACAATGAGAGAGAAGTTGCTGAAAAGATAAAGAATAAGTGGGACCTGAACATCGATGAGGAGACACAGGAAGTCCTGGAGAACCTCAAAGACCGCTGGTATCAGGCGGACAACCCGCCCCCGGACCTGCTGCTGACAGAGAGCGAGTTCCTATCGTTCCTGCACCCCGAGCACAGTCGTGGCATGCTGCAGTTCATGGTCAAGGAGATCATCCGGGACCTGGACCAGGACGGTGACAAGAAGCTCTCGCAGTCTGAGTTAATCTCTCTGCCCGTGGGCACCGTGGAGAACCAGCAGGGCCAGGATGTTGATGACGGCTGGGTGCGGGATAGGAAGAGAGAGTTTGAGGAGCTGATGGGATCGTGACCATGGCGGAGTTGGAGGACTACATGGACCCCATAAACGAGTTCAGAGCCCTTAATGAGGCCAAGCAGATGATCGCTATTGCTGACGAGAACCAGAATCACTACCTGGAGCCCGAGGAGGTGCTGAAGTACAGTGAGTTCTTCACAGGCAGCAAGCTGGTGGACTACGCCCGCAGCGTGCACGAGGAGTTCTGAGCCACCGCCGCATCCCCCGCCCCCCCCCCCCCCCGCAGCACCTCGCGGGCTGCCCGCACTCTGATTCCAGTGTAATCGCTGCATCTCGCTTCTGAGAACTCAGAGCCCTGCTGCCGGAGACACTGACCACATCAGGGCGGCGGGCTCCCCCACCGTGGGAAACGACGAAGCTCCTGCTGTTCCCTCGAAAACTGAAAGGTGAAGCTTTGCTGGAAACCGGCAGCCAGTGGCCAGGGTGGGGTGGGGTGGGGTGCTGGGTAGGCCTGTGAGAGCCGCCAGCCCATGGCCTTCAGTCTCTGAGGAGCATGAATATTGGTGACAGGAATCACATTAATTTACTTCAAAATAGAGTTGCCTTTTTCCTCTCAAAAAAAAAAAAGAGAGAGGGGCAAGAACTTTTCAGATCACAATCTGAGTCAGTGGTGTATAGCTGACTCCACCACCCGAGGGCCCTACTTCCTGGTCCCGAGGCCTGAACGTGTCTGTTGAGGGTAAGGTAAAGAAAAAGATCAAGGACCGGCCTAGGGTGGGAGGAGAAGGAGGACCCGGGGTCCCTTCCTCTGTGCTTCACAGCCCCAAATGCATCACCAGGAAGACGCTTGTCACTGCCTGTTTTTTAATTTTATTTATTTTTGGCCGCGCTGGGTCTTCGTTGCTGCGAGGGCTCTTCTCTAGTTGCCGTGCAGAGCCTTTTATTGCCGTTGCTTTTTCGTTGCAGAGCACGAGCTTGTAGGGCATGCGGGCTTCAGTAGCTGCGGCTCACAGGCTCTATGAGCACAGGCTGTACCTGAGATGCAGAGGGCTTAGCTGCTCCGCAGCATGTGGGGGCCTCCTGGATCAAGGATCCAACCTAGTCTCCTGCACTGGCAGGTGGATTCTTTACCAGTGAGCCACCAGGGAAGCCCCATCACTGTGTTTTAATTATCTGATTTACTTGTTGACCTGGCCCACTTGACTGTGAGCCCCCTGAGGAAAGGGTCTGTATCCCCAGTGCCCAGAATGAGGCTTGGCACAACTGGGAGCTTTGAATCAGTCAACCAGCTTTAAGATTTTGATGACTTCTGCAGTGCTGTAGAGAATAGCATCTGGCAATACCAGGCTCTCCCTGTGCTGTCTTCACTTGGAGGGGAGGGGGCAGGGGCATGCAAAGATCGAGTCTGAACCAAGCATGGCTTGCTCCTGCTGGCCGCATCTGTCTCTGGGTTGTCTGAGCCCATCGCAAAGCTGAGAGGAACATTTTCCCCCCCATCATTTTATATATTGATTTTTCACTTAGCATGGAAAAAAACAAGTGAAAGTTGTGCCTAGTCATATCTGACTCTTTGCAAGCTCATGGACTGGTTCCAGATAGTGAAAGGAGTAGGTCAAGGCTGTATATTGTCACCCTGCTTATTTAACTTATATGCAGAGTACATCATGAGAAACGCTGGGCTGGATGAAGCACAGGCTGGAATCAAGATTGATGGGAGAAATATCAATAACCTCAGATACTCAGATGACACCCACCACCCTTATGGCAGAAAACAAAGAACTAAAGAGCCTCTTGGTGAAAGTGAAAGAGGAGAGTGAAAGAGTTGGCTTAAAGCTCAACATTCAGAAAACTAAGTTTATGGCATCTGGCCTCATCACTTCATGACAAATAGATGGGGAAACAGTGGAAACAGTGACAGACTTTATTTTTGGGGGCTCCAAAATCACTGCAGATGGTCAATGCAACCATGAAATTAAAAGACGCTTACTCCTTGGAAGGAAATTATGACCAACCTAGACAGCATATTAAAAAGCAGAGACATTACTTTGCCAACAAAGGTCTGTCTAGTCAAAGCTATGGTTTTTCCGTTAATCATGTATGGATGTGAGAGTTGGACTATAAAGAAAGCTGAGCACCGAAGAATTGATGCTTTTGAACTGTGGTGTTGGAGAAGACTCTTGAGAGTCCCTTGGACTGCAGGGAGATCCAGCCAGTCTATCCTAAAGGAAATCAGTCCTGAACATTCGGTGGAAGGACTGATGCGGAAACTCCAATACTTTGGCCACCTGATGTGAAGAGCTGACTCATTTGAGAAGACCCTGATGCTGGGAATGATTGAAGGCAGGAGGAGAGGGGATGACAGAGGATGAGACGGTTGGATGGCATCACCAACTCAATGGACATGAGTTTGAGTAAACTCCGGGAGTTGGCGATGGACAGGGAGGCCTGGCGTGCTGCAGTCCATGGGGTTGCAGAGTCGGACACAGCTGAGCAACTGAACTAAACTAACTGGACTGTAGCTCACCAGGCTCCTCTGTCAATGGAATTCTCCAGGCAAGAATACTGGAGTGGCTAGCCATTCGCTTCTCCAGAGGATCTTCCTGACCCAGGGACCAAACAGATTCTTACTGTCTGAGCCACTACTGAGCATTACTGTGTTTCAAAGGAGCAAACTTTTTTTGGCCTTACAGCCTATTCTTTCCCTGTCTCAGGAGGATTGGGGCTCAGCCAGGAACCAACTCATCCCTCCCCTGGTGTGCACAGAACCGAGGAAGGGGCTGAGAATCAGTCTCCAGGGTTTTCTGGGGCATGAGCAGGCATCAGCGCTGAGAATGGGCGAGGATAATGCAGTGCTGGGGCCGGGACAAGACCTGGTAGTCTGGTCCCTTCCAGCTTGTCCAGAGATTCCTGCCATTTCTGAGCTCATGAAAGGCCCAGGGTGACTTGCCTTTCCCAGAGCTTGGTGGCCATGCCAACTCTTCAGGAACTTGAGTCAAGGGCAGGGAGTGAGGTGGTCCAAGCCTGGAGACAATGCTGGCCTGTGGCTCTAGGGAGGCTGGGAAAACTCTTAGCGTCTCTTGGGTGGGTCAAGAGCCCTAGGGAGGGCTGTATACCACCTAATTTGATCCACAACCCCATTTGCAGCTGCGAAAGCTGAGGCACAGTCATCGGTCCTCAGGCGTGCTTGTTAGAGGCCACCTGACTCTGGGGAGGTTCGAACTTTGGCTCTGAGGTCAGAGCTGCCACCTTTTAAGTGTGAGGTTGGCAAGAAACTGCCCTTCCTGGGCCTAAGTTTCCTCCCAACGAATGTGTAGTAGTAACAGTGATAATAATTGTAATGATTGCAGCCAGGACAACAAAGAACCCTGGCCACCGACGTCTCTCCCACCCCCAGAGTGTCATCTCCTACATCTGGCTCCCTTCTGATGCCATCTGTGACCCAGCATTCAACTCAGTAAAACAAGCAAGAACCAACATGCCATAACAAAATCTGCAACATTTAATCCCCGCCCCCCCCAAACCAAGACACTGACACTAGGCTGATTTCCCCTTACAATGTTATTTTCTACAACAGAAGCTGGGACAAACACAGCCCACTGAATCAGGGGGTGGTGATGGTAACATTCTGTTAGAAAGGAGGGGTGTTTAAAAAAAAACAAAAAGCCTCCCCTCCCCCCATCTCCCTGCTCATCTCCTGAAAGAGAGGAGACCATGGGCATTCTCCATCTTGGTGGATCATGCCATGTGGTCGGTTTGTGGGGTGACCAGAAAAAAAAAACCCAAGAAACCTAAAAATATTGTAGATCTTTCTTTTCTTTAAATCTCCTAGTAAAAACGTTAAACTGTCCTTCAAGAAGATTCCAAACTGGCATTGCATAGACCAATTCCTTTCCAAAAATATCTCTAATATAGTCTATCTCTTTCTAAATATAGGATTTTTAGTCCAGAGCTGTGGGCACCTAATGGGAATTCACTGAGCTTGAGGGGACCAGAGGGTCGTTCTTCGAATGTGGGGCTCCCACGTGGGGATGAGGCTGGGGCTCCGGGGCTCCAGGCCTCCGGCTCCAGCCAGCATTGATTTGGTTGTGGCCGAATTCTGTCAGTCCAGTTACCCTGGCCCAGGGCCTGGCATGGGAGGGTGTGGCAGGCTCTGTCTCCTCCTGGGGTGACTGTCAAATTCAGACCTCGCCTAGGGTGGGGCTGGGGATCCTGGTATGGGGAATTCTCCCCAACAGCACCAAAACCAGCTATCTTATGCCTGAAGCCCCCAGAATGTTGACTCAGACCCTAAAGACACCCTGAATACATCGCCTCACTGGGCTGAGGTCGTGCAGATACAGAAGGGAAGGACAGCGTCCCCCCATCTTCTGGGGGTCACTTCAACTGCAGACAGTGCGGCCAGCTCCCTTTTAAAGTGCCAGGTGTCTGTGGAGCAGAAAGGGACCTGCAGAGCTGACCAGAGCCTTCCCCAGCCAGAGCAAATGCTCCATCCTGCCTCGGCAGGCACCTTCTCACATTCATTTTCTAAAAGGGTTAGGTCATTAAAAACAACAGAAATCCTAGAAATGCTCTGGTCCCAATGCCAGGAGGTTCCAAGACCAAGCCCAATTCTTGCCAGTGGGGCAGAAGGCAAGGACCCCTCCCAGCCTGGGAAGGGCACCCCCCACCCCCCACCCCAGATCCCCAGCCCTGCTGGGACCCAGCCAGCGGGTAGGGGGAGAACAGAAGCACCTCCCCTCGCCTGGGGGAGGAGGAAATACCAAACTATGAACTCTTAAAAAAGAAAATGAAAGGGAGGAAAGAAAGAAAAAAAAATCAAGAAAGAAAAGGAAAAAGGTATGGGGCTACGCAAACACCAGCCTGCTGGGTTTATACAAAATGAGTGAAATTTAGAGTGTCGGGGGAGTCTGTCCAGGGACTGGCGGGCAGCCAGAACCCACTTTCAAGCAAGTAACGAGGACAAGGCCAGGGGAAAGTGCTGAGAGCAAAGGGTATAGCGAGGGGTAGGGGCGGGGGCAGGGCCAGACTGCTCCCGCTGGGAAAACCCCCTTAATGGACCCCACCCCCACCCCGCCCTCTCCTTTGCCCAGAGAGGGCATGTTTTCAGAGGTTGGCTGAGGCTTTTCTGGCCAGGAAGCCAGCTCCGGGCCAGTCCAGCTACAGCCCATCTGCCTCTCCGCATCGGCCCCGGCCTGGGCCAGCTGAGCCTGAGGGGAGAGAAAGGGCGCTTGGCTTGGCAAACCCAGCGCAGCCGGGCTGCTGACCTCCAGGGCCTTGGGAGGCACCTTTCCTGGCTTCATTAACAGAAGCTAGCTGCCCAGGACCCAGCCCTGGGCAGAGGGGAACTGCTGCTCAGGCTCAGACCTTTCTCAGCAGGGGGCTCAGGCCTGAGCTGGAGCCAACCGGAGAGGGCAGGGAGGGGCAGGGGCAATGCCACGTTCCAGCCGGGCTGTGAGGGCTGGGCTGCTGACCGCACGGCAGGCAGTGCCCAGGGATCCTTGGGAAGGGCTCAGTGGATGGGCAGGCGAGGGCCAGGGCGCTGTGCTGGAGACAAGCGTGTGCAAAGTGCAGGCTGCCGGGCAGCAGGAGAACATTCGCTGTGGGGGAGGTGGGGTCTCAA